ATATATTTGAGACAGGCAGGTTTCTTTGTAGCTTTGGAGCCTGTCCTGGTACTCACTCTGTAGACCAGGCGGGCCTCGAACTCACAGAGATCCGCCTATCTCTGCTTTTCAAGTGCTGGGATTAAAGGCATGCGCCACTACCACCCAGTGATTTTTTTAAAAATATTTTTGAAGATGCTCTTACACTGTAGCCCAGGATAGCCTTAAACTCACAGCAATCCTTTGGCTTGAGTTTCCTGAGTGCTGGGATTGTAGGTGCAAGGTACTATACCTGGTTCTTGTTCTCTGTCTACCAAAGTCTTTCATTTCTGTGTGCCACAGCAGACAGCATTAGCATTTTCCAAGTCCAGTTAAAACCACAAAACCATGGGTCTTTGGCTGATCTGAGTATAAACTATACAATTTCTTATTAAAGTAGATATTCTGTTTCCTTTGAAAGATAGATCTCTCTCGCTCTCTCTGCATTTGCCTGGCAAACAGATAATCTTTTTTTTTCCTTTTCCAGATTTTGGAACAGAAGATTTAGGCTCAAAGCAAAACTAAGTGGAAAATAATTGAGTCCTCTCCAGCTCCAGAGGACCTCACCACTACACAGGCCAGCCTCCTCTATTACCAGCGTCTGCTACAGAGCGATCTGTAGATGATGAACCCACACTGAGGCTACAAGGCTCTGTGTCAGAATAAACAAGAACCAAATGAAGCCGGAAATAAAGTGCTCACTACAGCAAGTAGCTCTGCAGAGCGGGAGAGGAGGCTTAATGCAGGGAAGACATTGTGATCACTTACCTTTGCTCTCAAAACACACTTCAAACATGTCATAATCTTCCGTGGTAAAAGCAAACTTCCCCTTAGTTGCATCCTCTTTGGCATATAGAATATGGCCAGCAGAATCTGTGATCTAAAGAAGAAAGAAAAAAACAGTTACTTGGTAAAGAACTCTGAGGAAGGGTAATTACAGAAACTGGGGAGACAGAGATAATATGAAAAGAGCCAGGAATTGGGAATGTTGCTCACTGAAGACGGCATGCACAAAGGCCCCAGCACCATATAAAAACCAAGTGTGGCAGTGCACACCAGCAATCCCAATACTGTTCAAGTACTGGGAGGAGAGTCAGAAGTTCAAGGTTATCCCTAACTACACAGAGAATGCATATCATCAAGACTTTAAAATTTCAAAAATTACTTCAGATCTGTAATAATAAGATCAATTCAGTAGGAAATACCAAATTTTAGTTTAAAAAAAGAGGGGCATCTCTCTCTCTCTCTCTCTCTCTCTCTCTCTCTCTCTCTCACACACACACACACACACACACACACACACACACACACAAACTAAATAAAAAATGAATCTTAGACATATAGGATAAGCCTAATTTCCTCTTCAAAAAGACATCTTTATCATTCACAAATGACTTGTTTATTCGAGGGTCACAGCAGTCCTCCCCATTTGTAACTGCTCCATGATCGAAGGGTCACCTACAAGAACAGATGAAGGGCATACCTTGGTAAGTGGCCACATGTAAAGCAAGGGGATGATTTAAGGAATGAGATCCCAGGCTAAAGCCAGTAACCACTCGTCACTTAAAAGAGGAAGCTATTTTGCAATGTGAAAGTGGCTTCCTTACATTAAACTTAATATGCTAATGTCATTTGTTAAAATGGAATTCTTTGATAGATGAAAAAAATTGTCTTAAGATAAAGCCTTCCCACATAGCTCTGGAACTCACTATATAAATGAGGCAGGCCTTGAACTCACAGAGATCTGCCAATCTGTGTGCTGAAATTAATTAAAGTCATGTACCACCATGGCCAGTCTAGAAGTGAAATTTTTAAAGTAAAATCAAGTAGCACACATTCAGACCTTTCTGGGTTTTTTTTGTTTTGTTTTTTTTGTTTGTTTGTTTGGTTGGTTGTTTTGTTTTGTTTTTCAAGTCAGGGTTTCTCTGTAGCTTTGGAGCCTGTCCTGGAAACTAGCTCTTGTAGATCAGGCTGGCCTCGAACTCACAGCAATCCACCTGCCTCTGCCTCCTGAGTATGCCACCATTGCCCGGCCCTCTTTGTTGTTTAAGACAGGGTTCATGCAGTCTGGGCTGTCCCTGAATTTGTTATGTAGCAGATAATGACTTGCAACGTCCTTCTGCCTCTTCACCCCAGGGAGCACCGAGATTACAGGCATTTAGCTATTAATATACAGCCTACTCATGCATGTGCACATATAAGCACACATTCCATTTAGTTACGACTGTGTTTAGTATGTTGTAAAAGTTCAATATAAAACCCTGGCTATACAGATCAGGGAGGTCTTGAACTCACAAAGATCCACCTGCTTCTGCCTCCAGAGTACTGGGATTAAAGGTGTGTGCTACCACACCTGGCCTAACACATTCTTTATATTTGTAAAATGGAGAAATTAAAACACCTTAATTATTTAGCCGGGTGTAGTGGCTCACACCTTCAATCCCAGCACTGGAAGAGGCAGGCGGATCTCTCTATGTTCAAGATTAGCCGGGACTGCATAGTGAGTTCTAGGTCAGCCAGGACTGTAGAGAGAGCCTGTCTCAAAAACAAGACAATGGGTGTTTTGCCTACATATATGCCCGTGTACCATGTGCATGCCTGGTGCCTACAGGAGACAGAAGACAGTGTCAGATCCCCTGGAACTGGAGTTACAGATATATGTGAACTGCCAACTTGGTGCTGGGAATTAACCTAGAACCTATGGAAGAGCAACAAGTGTTCTTAATGGCTGAGATGACTCTCCAGCCCCAACCACCTTCTTTCTTAAACAGCTGGTATTTTACCATAAGGAAAAGCATAGCAAATCCAAACCTGAAGTACACAATCAACCTATCTAGCAATCACCACTATTCTCTACTGAAGAACACCAGGTCTTCTCAGGGCCTTTCCCATAGCAGCCCTGACAGTCCCTCCTAGGGGCTGCAGAGACTGCAAACTTCCAGACACTCTGCTCCGACAGGGTGCTGCTGCTGAAGCTCCAAAAAGGCTCTGAGACAACAAGGAATGTATGCAATGACTGAAAATGCCTACTTAAGTATTTACATATCAAATACACAAGACATAATGATATTTTATTTGGATTTACAATACATGAAGGTAGAAGCACCTTTCATTTTGTTCTGTTGTTGTTTTGAGACAGTATCTCCCCATTATGTGGTCTTGGCCATCCTGGAACTCACTATGTAGACCAGGCTGGGGTCAAACTCACAGGCGTGTACTACCATGTACCACAGGCTAAGTAGTAGTACATTTTAAAAGTAGTTAATTCTGAATAATAGGACTTCCTCTTTACACACACACACACACAGAGAATCAGCCTCTCTCTGTGTTTTATTACATCTATTTACTTATTTTGATGAGGGCAGGGGCCATACCACACATGTGGAAATAAGAGTCTCCTTTTACCACGGGGGTTCTGAGAATTGAATTCTAATCAGTCTTTTTTACTGACTCTTCTATTTTCTTAATTTTCTACAAAGGCATATGTTACTTAGCATAAAAATAAAGTTATTGCATTTTGGAAAAAATAATAACTAAAGAAAGTTAACTTGTTAGACAAATTTGAAAGGATGCGTTAATAAAATTTCCAAATTCGCTAATAACACTGGTTAATATTAGTTCAGAGTTTAGGCAATTCACATCACCCATTAACTTGGGAAATATTTAAGATACTGAGATCTGTGGTCCCTGGGTAAGTTAGGGAAAGGTTATTAACTATTTACTTTTTGCTGTTTTGGCTTTGTTTTACATTTCCTTTATGATTAATAATGACAGACAGCTGGGCGGTGGTGGCACATGCCTTTAATCCAGCACTTGGTTGGCACAGGCAGGCGGATCTCTGTGAGTTCAAAGCCAGAGCTAGTTCCAGGACAGGCGCCAAAGCTACAGAGAAACTCTGTCTCAAAAACAAAACAAAAAAAAGATGGTATCTGTTCTTTCTGTGTATCTGTTGGCTTTTGGTATGAAGTGGTAAAATAATCTAATTAACTTGGTTTGTCAAAGCATTAACATTGTAAATACAACTTCTATTTACCAGTTATACCAAAAATGAAGCTGAAAACAAGACACAAAAGCAGACGGAATGCAATGCAAAGAAGCACCGCTACATGCACATAGGAATTTCTGAAACTTAACAGGTGACCATCAACCAAGGAAGCCGAGCGGTAAAGGCAGCCGACAGTCCTCCCAACGGTGCCCAGCACTGCTCATCTGCACTCATGCGCACCTGAGGGACGAGCAGGCCGACACAGGGGTCGTGAGCTCAGCTACGGAACACTGGGCCCTCAAGAGTCATTAATGCCTCTGTTCATGGGATACTTTGCCTGGATAATCAATTAAGGAAAAAAAGCAAGCAAGCAAACTTCTTGATAATCCCGACTATACACATATTATAAGGCAAAAAGGTCTGGAAACTAATCAAATCCCATTACGCAGCAAGTATGCTGCCCCACTTCCTCTCCCCAGAACCAGACACTTTCCTGCTGCCAGCCTCCCAAAAGCACACCGCAAAGTTCAAAAACGCAGATTTAAGAGATGGCAAAGGGGTTTAGAGCACTTGCTGCTTTTGCAGAGGACCTGGGCTTGATTCCCAGCTTCCAAATGTGAGCTCACAAGCATCTATAACTCCAGTTCCAGAGGCTACGGCACTTTTCTGACCTCCTCAGTCACGGGGCACACATGTGATACAGTATACATACATGCAGGCAAAATATTCATACATATAAAATTAAATCTGAAAAAATTAAAAAGGCAGACTGTAGGAACAAAGCGATGTGAAAACCCCACTTTGGTTAATCTCCTATGAACGGCTTCAGACAACACAGAACTTTTCTAGAGTGAATCTGGGCAAAGAGATTCCATTATGGCTTTTGCTATTAGTCTAATTCTAAACGGAACAGAGCTGCTAAGATGTGTTAAGTCGTAAGGGAACCAGTAGAGGACAACGGGAGAAAGGAGCAAGCTTACAGCAGCGAATGATCAGAGATTTCACCTTCTCCACACCCAGGCAAGGAAGGGACCAGGTCACCAGCCTAGACAAACAACTCAATTTAACAGCATTTATTAGAGCTGGCACACATTTGCCCAACCACCTTATTTCTTAGAAAACAGCTTATGATCACTTTTTCTCCTAAAATATTAAAAAGTGTTCTTCAATATTTTTTTTAATTTAATGAAAGGAGCCTTTCCAGATTATAAAAGTCCTTAAATGCAGGTCATAAAACTCTTAGCAAAGCATTGGTGATGATGTTGCATGGAGCAATCTGCAACACAAATCCAGAACTGCTCCTCTAAGGACTCCACAATCCATACCTCCAACTGGGACCTATAAATGCCCCCTCTACACTGCGCTGAGAAATTACAGAATGGAAGAACTACTTGCTCTGTATGCTCCATGACATCTGAAAACCCATAAGACGGTAAATTCATTTGAGGGCAAAGATTCAACTGCATTACTAGAGGGTAGAATGAAGGACCCAATTTTTAAAATTTTTTTTAAGATTTAATTTTATGTATGTATTTTGCCTGTATGTTTGTATGCGTAACACACATGTATCTAGAGGTCAAAAGATAAAGAAGCATTATATACTCTGAAACTGGAGTTACAGATGGTTGTGAGGTACCATGAGGCTGCTGGGAATGAACCCAGGTCCTCTAGAAGACTGCTGAACCATCTCTCCAGCTCCAACCTGTAGAGGTCTCAACTTACAGAAAGCAAGTAGAAACCAGAATTGTTAAACACACAGCCTTTTTTCTTCAAAGGGAGCAAATGGCACCTGTTCACCTAGAAGGCGGGAGTGGATTTTGTCTAATAACCTGGTGATCTTTTGCTATTCTATAACGCCAGCCTTCAACTGAATCCCCCCAAATCCTGAGCAATCC